TTATCAAAAGACAGTTCGCCACAGCTCTGAAGCAAATGCACCGCAGGCTGCATTCATTTGTGGGCATCACGTTACCAGGATAGTATTGGAAGGAGCAGAGCCAAGGCCGGCTCCAGGCACCAGCTTAACAAGCAGGTGCTTGGGGCGGCCAAGGGAGAGGGGCGGCACCTGCGGCAATTCGGGGGCGGCAGGTCCCTCACTCCCTCTAGGAGCGAAGGACCTGCCGCTGAACTGCTGCCGCCGATCGTGGCTTTTTATTTATTTATTTATTTGCTTGGGGTGGCAGAAATTCTGGAGCCGGCCCTGAGCAGAGCAATGGAAAGGATATGGAAGCTGGAGAGGTTGATTTAGAGAGAAAAAGTAAGAGCTAAAGCTGTCCGGCTAGGTTCGGCGGGAAGGCTGCAAATATGTTGTGTGTTTATACAGTAACTAGCACAATGGGGTGCTGGTCATGACTAAGGCTCTCAGGTGCTATAGTTATACAAATAATTAGTGGCAATAATACACACCAGTTTGAATAGCAAGGAGGAGGGGGAGTTCTTTTAGGAGCAAAGGAGAAGAAAGGAAGAATTTAGGCTGAATGTCAGGATAAACTTCTTGAGAGTGAAACCTGTAACCAGGTTGTAGAACGTCTCTCAAGGGGAGTTGTGGGAATTGCATTGTTTGGGACTTTGAAGACTGCACTGGACAATCCTGCATTGCCCCAGGTAGACAGGTCTGGATTTCAGAAGAGCTCTTTTCTAGCTCTACTGTGTCTGATTCTGGGTGGGAGTGGTGGAGGGTGGAGAAGAGAGCGACAGGAATCGTTCAGAAATGATTTTGAAGCAGCAGTCTCTTGACAAGGAGTCAGCCTGCGCGATCACGGTTATTGCAGGAAACTGCCACCCTGGGCTCTGTCTCAGCAAACTGTGGATTGATTGAAGCAAACTTTCATCTTCCCTATAAATATACATAATGATTCTCTCCAGAGCCAAGGACATGAAATGTAAATTGGCTCTGCAAAAGGAAAAATAAAGTCTGTTTTGTAGACAGGTTTGTTTAATAGCCTCATTTCTCTCCGGTGCTTTTGCCAATGGATGCTACTTCAGGTGGTCCCAGGTACAGTGCACAGGCCTGGGAATCATGCTTATGTGATTATACAGTGGGAAGCGGGGGTTCAGAACAGGGAAGAACCCCCAAAGGGCAATGCCTGTTGTAGCCAGCACATGGTGTAAGAAGGATCTTCTGTTATCCAGGCCACATGCCAGCTTATGTACTGTAGCCTATGCAGTCTAATCTGTCTGCTCTCAATTCTAGATTATAACATTTGCAACATTAGCAAGCAGCGGGGCATAGTAGAATGAGCACAGGACTGAGATCCAGGAACGCCTGTGTTCAATACCCAGCTCTGCCATGACCGACTGTGAGACCTCAAGCAAAGTCCTGTCCCCTCTCTGTGTTTCGGTTTCCCCATCTGTGAAGTGGGGATTATCATTTATATCCCTAATCAACCTGGTACGTGGCTGGTGAGGAGTTAATGGCTGTGCTTTGAAAACGTCAAATGGCAGGTATTACATTAACTCTGCACCCACTGAAAAAGCTGCTACCCTTCTGAAATACAGAACTCCCAAGAAACCCTTACTTACAGCCCTAGATTGGGCATATTTTGGGCTCCAGAGTCTTTTGTTTTTGCCTACGTAAGGGTTTCTCAAACAGGGGTCACCGCTTATGTAGGGAAAGTCCCTGGTGGGCCGGGCCGGTTTGTTTACCTGCCGCGTCCGCAGGTCCGGCCGATCGCGGCTCCCACTGGCCGCAGTTCGCTGCTCCAGGCCAATGGGAACTGCTGGAAGCGGTGCAGGCCGAGGGACATATTGGCCGCCGCTTCCAGCAGCTCCCATTGGCCTGGAGCAGCGATTGGCAGACCTGTGGACGGGCAGGTAAACAAACCGGCCCAACCCGCCAGGGGCTTTCTCTACACAAGCGGTGACCCCTGTTTGAGAAACCCTGGCCTACGTCCATCTTCCTAATGAATTATTGGTATTTTTTTCAGTAACAAATACATTGCACATGAAGTACAGAGATGAGAGGAGCCCCTGGGCGCTCCATGTCTGTGAACAGATGAGCTAAGCCAAAATTCTGTCGTTACATCCTTGGGACAACAGCTGACCTTGTATTTCACTCTATGGGTAATTTTTCCCCAATGTGTGTGTAGAGAAGGCCAATGCCTTGGCTCATGATTTGGCTCATTAGAGATGAGATGGACTATTGGTTCTTTTCTCTGCTTTCATAGCCAGATCCTCAGCTGGTATAAATTGTTGTAGTTGCATTGAAGCCAGTGAAGCTACACACCAGTTTATACCAGTTGAGGATCTGGTACACAAACTTCCTGACTGGCGCGGGTCTAGTTCAAAAGGAGGTTAAATGTACACAATATATATTTCACTACTTGTATCTCCCACAAGCTCCAAGATATGGCAGATTTACAGAGCTCTGCAATGATTTCAGGATTGCTGGAAAACTGAGTCAGTGCTACTAAAGGAGTGCGGGGAGCCAAACATTAGCACAAAATAATTTTCAGTAACTAACTTGGATATATGTCATGTTGTGTTGACAAAGAATTTCCTTGGAGTCCTTCAAAATAAGGGAAAGTAAGTCATAAAAGCTGGAAGTGCAGGAAAGAGCTAAAATCGCAGCCAAGATTTAAAAGGAACAGAGGAAGGAGTCTTTCCAGTTGCAATAGGAATAGCATTCCTGGGGGTTCAAGGCAGCAAATGGAGAGCATTTCAGCCAAAGATGGATCTCTGACTGGGAGGTGTGGAGATACAATAAGCTGTTCATCCTCACGAATTGCAGTTTCGAGCATCTGCGCACATTAAAGTGAAAGATAGTTTTGAGACTTTAAAGAATCATACTTCTGGTAAAATTAGGCTGTGCTAAGCACTAGAGCAGTGGTTCCCAAACTTGTTCCGCCGCTTGTGCAGGGAAAGCCCCTGGCAGGCCGGGCCGGTTTGTTTACCTGCCGCGTCTGCAGGTCCGGCCAATCGCGGCTCCCAGCGGCCGTGGTTCGCTGCTCCAGGGCAATGGGGGCTGCTGGAAGTGGCGGCCAGTTCGTCACTCGGCCCGCGCCGCTTCCAGCAGCTCCCATTGGCCTGGAGCAGCGAACTGCGGCCACTGGGAGCCGCGATCGGCCGGACCTGCGGACGCGGCAGGTAAACAAACTGGCCCGGCCCGCCAGGGGCTTTCCCTATACAAGCGTTGGAACAAGTTTGGGAACCACTGAAGTACAGACAGGGCCAGTTGACAGAACTCTGAGAGCCTGGATCTGCACCCCATTAAACTCTGGGGAAGTTTGGATCACCACTTCCTGATTAAGGGCTCTCTCTGCCATGTGTATTACCCATGTCATAACTTACTTTGAACACCTCCTATGAAATTGTTTCTGCAGCTTAGTGTTGTAGCTTGCCTCTTTACTGACACTGCTTTAGCACTAGCAGTGATCTCATGAAGCAGGGGAGCTTTGAGAATTTGTGAGGAAAGCAGGGACTTGCAAAGCTTTTTCTTTTTGAGTACTGTTGCCCTCTTGACCGAACAGTAGCTGAAACCGGGGGCCTGGAAGGATGGTTTCTCTTTGGATGGTAAACCAATGACATGGAGTCAGGATACTGTCTGCATGTCATTTGTTACTTACAAAAATGTACACCAGCCCTCTTTCCACGAATGGCAGCAGCACACTGCACACAGGCAGCCCCGTGTTGCTGAAATTTCAGGCCAGGCGCTCCAGCCCCTGTCCCAAGAAGCAGCGGCCTTTGCCTCTGCTCATCTCCAGAGACCGAGAAAGACTCCAGCCGCTTCATTCCAGCTGCCACGTGGTTGAACTTTAGTGCTTCCACTGGTCGGTGTCTGTAATAGTATGAAAAGAGCTTCCCAAGCGTGTGCGTGCAAAGACACATGCACACAGAAGGGAGTCTCTCAGCATCAGTACGAAAGGAATGGTAGTCTAGGACACTCTGCCCTCGCAAGAGATGAATGCTGGAGACATGGAGCCACACTGCTCTCAACACCTGCTGTTCAAAACTCCTATCAATTAGTTATTCCTCTGCAGATGGTGATTCCTGAATTGAAGGACAGACCAGAGAGAAGCTGGTTCTGCTCAGAGACTTTAGTTGTACAAAAATCTCTAGCAAGGACAAGGTGATTCCTTCTCCTTTCCTGCTGCCACGGCTTGTGTACTTCCCCGGTTGGACTGAAATGTCCTGGCGATGGGGGAACTCTGTCCCAGAAATGCTTCCCCTGCCCAGCATTCCTCAGAGGAATAGTCTCAGGCTATTCTTTCAAGGGCTCCACAGATTTCAGACATTCTGAAGGGGAAGGCTTTACTTTGTGAGTAGATTCTTATGCTGCGCCCATCACCGTGGTATCTAAGGGTGTGAAGGCCAAGCCTTCACCCACTGACTGTGCTTTTGCACCTGCAGTTGCTTGAGTGGATTCCTGGTGCAGTTTTCTGGGTACACGCCCCTTTGTGCAATTATTTAATAGGAACCCAAACCTGTTTGAGGCTGTCCTAGGCAGCAGGAAAGCTATAAAGAACATTGACATACCTCTGCCGTACTATTTCTGTGTATTTCACGCATAAAACTGAATATGCCATTCATTCCGCAATATCTAGGCCCAGGAAGGCTAAGGATAGTGCTTTGGTTTAGACTGTATATTTCCTGCCTTTTGTTGCTTCATCAGCAGTTGAACACGTTCTAGGCGTTTTGTTGTATTACTTTGTAAGTCAGGTTTGGGAAGAGGGAAATCTTTGGAGCTGATCATTTATCTCTATATATTTTACTTCTGATCTCTCATATTATGATATTAGCTAGTTTGCATTGATGGGTGAGTGTGTGGGGGTTAGAGGGAGGAGTTAGTGCAGGCTACCCATGTGGGTGCTCAGACAGGCTAGGCAAGCTAAGTGCAGCCTTTCCCCTCTCTTATGGCTCTGATAACCCAGATTTGCCTGTGCCTTTGTCCCCATGCAGGTTGGAGGACACACCATGCTGCCCATCCGCTGGATGCCCCCTGAGAGCATCATGTACCGGAAGTTCACAACAGAGAGTGATGTGTGGAGCTTTGGGGTGATCCTCTGGGAGATCTTCACATATGGGAAGCAGCCCTGGTTCCAGCTCTCAAACACAGAGGTACAGGATAAACCAGGGCATCTTGGGCTGGGGAGGGGAGACGAGACATGATGGAAAGGGGCTTAGCATGCTTGTTGCAGGATGTTTCGAGCACTTTGAGACTTGGAGGTGGGTCATTTTGCCTCCCTTATCCACGTTGGAAGCCAGGGTACACCACCACCTTTCACATTCTCAGGAGGAAGTCCTAGCCTTCCCCCACCTCGGGTGCCACTGTTCATAACAGCATCATGGCCTCGCAGAGGAAGGGCTAGGTGAAGCCATGGTTTCTGTCTGTGAAATGCAGCCTGACAGAGGCTCTTACTTTGAGAAGAACCCCCAACCCATAATTCCTCCCATCCCACCCCTGCCCCTTCCTCTTGGGTTTGAATCAGCCACAAGTAAAGTAAGGTTACATGGAGGGCTAATGCGCCCCACACTGGCACTGAGTTGGCTGGCTTTAAGCAGCAGCCCGTTGCAAGTAAATTATTTCCAGCAGAATTCCCAACCTGGGGCATGTAAAATGTTGGTCATAGCGAGGGCTGCAGGTGGGGAGGTGCAGGGACGGGGTGGACCCCAGTATTTTATAGAAATCTGGGTCAGGTCATTCAATGTGCACCCCAAAGAGGGGGGGGGGAAATTTGGGAAATACCAATGCACAGCAAACACCTATGGTCCAGGCACTTCCCTTGTATGTTCATGTACAACTCCCATTGACCCCAGTGAGAGCTGCGGGTGAATGCGGGAGGGACAGATCTGACCATAAAAATGGAACATTATTGCTCACGGGGAGAAGGGCAGTTCTCCTTCCATTGCCATCTTTGCAACAATGCTTTCAGAGCAATCAGTGCATCGAGTTTGATGGTCACCTCCCAGACGTTCACAATAACAGTGGTAATTAATGCTTGCCACTCTTATGGTCTTTTTCAGCATAGCATTTAAAGCACCTTTCAGAGGGATAACTATTATCCCTATTTCACAGATAGGGAAACTGAGGCACAGAGCCTGACACAGTGACAGAGCTGGGAATAGATCCCAGGTCCCTTGATTCCCAAATCCATGATTTAGCGATATACCCACCACGCTGTTTGGCTAGATAAGCACAGAAGCACGCTCAGAACTGGGACTAGTAGGGGTTGCTGCAGGTCAGGCTCAAGTTACATCCAGGAGAGGCAGGTCTGGAACAGCAGGCAGTGGTCCAGCTCACGTTTGAGTGCAGTGACAGAGCTGTGCCCGGGAAACGTGCACATTTTTATCCGATTGTGTGTCTAATGGATTTCAGAAATGTTACCTCTTTTAACAAGAAATGTCCATTTTCTGCTTTCCGGACACAGATCCCTTAATTGAGTGAGTGCAGAGAGGGACTATCCAAGGTGCTTCTTTACATCACTAATACTTGCCCATTTGTGAGCTCAGTGCACTTCCCGAAGCAGCACGCACAAACATTTTAGAGACAAAAAGAGCGAGAGAAATGATCACAGAAGCCATTTGTTATGATACTTAATGAGCTGCTCTTGCATTTGCCTTGGAGATAAATACACACACACACAAATGAGCGTGCATACATCCCACATGGATGAGCTGTCCTGCTGGAACCCAGACCGCACAAATGTCTCTGCACTTGTCTTAGTTTCCCCGTCTGTGAAATGGGGATAATCAAACTAACCCATCTAATAACCTTAAACAGTGCTTTGAACATATAAAGCTGGTACCGTTGGGCTAGGAATAGTACTGTTACATCCAGACAGGGTGACTTTTAACCATTGTCACCTCCATCTCTACGTGGCCCCGTCTTTCCTCTGTCCCTTTCCCTTTTCTCCTCAAAGGAGAGAATTCACAGGCAACCTGTGCAAAACATTGCACATTCATCTTCCCAAATGTTAGGGACGTGTTTGCTGTTGGCCTGCTGGTTAGAAGCAAGCTGTGGAGACTCATGCAAAGTCCAAGGGCCTCTGGAGAACTGACTCCACCAGATCTTAGACTGTCACTTTTAATGAGGATGAGCAGGTCTGGACACACCTTCTCCACTCCGGGACATCTACAGGGGACATGAGTCTAGATTTTGTCTGGCTGTTGGCCGGTAAAAGTTAAAATGAGCATTTTTAGACATTCTGCTAAACACTAGAAGAGACCCTCGCTGAGGGGAAGATGGAATAGGGCACATGGCTACTGAAAGACCACCTGAAGACCCAAAGCGAGCCCTACTGGCTAAATCTAAACTTTGCTTCCTCTCTAGAGATAGGGGCTCACCCTGGGTCTTTCGAATACAGGAAGCCTTTTCGTGGTCCTAGTTCATGTCTCTCTGCCTGCTCCACCAAGGGTCCGAAAGTTGACTCTGCCATCAGCTGTATGGTGATGGAGCCTTGTCTGCAGCACTGCATTTCCATCGCCCTCCCATCAGCAGCTCCTCCTAATCGCTTCTCCTCTTGCTATGTCTATGCAAACATCAGAGCGATAACTATCTGTTTGGATGGGTGCCGGGCCCCATTACTAGTCACAAATGATAAACTTCAGGCCCCCCTTGCTGGTCTACTTGCCTCGCAAGTAACACTGTTTGGGATCTGTGTTTATCTGCAGCATGTGTCGGGTCACTCAGATACCGCAGTGCCGGGACACATCACTTCCCAAACAGGGGGCTAGTCAGTGATAATAGCTCTCTGACAAGTCACTTTTTTCCCCCTTTACATCCTTTTCTCTGGCGAGCAGGATTCAAAAAGCAGGTGCTTGGGGAATTGTTTTCCCCTGGAGTCACTCTAAAGACACCATTTCATGCTGCACGAGCTGCTCGCAAATTTCTCATTAGCGGCAACGACCTGACCTAGAGCGAGGTGTGAACATTTGCAAGATTTCCTTCCATCATGAATTTGATCCAAGATGAAATGGTGTTCTTTTTTCTGCTTTCAGACATCAAAAATTAGACAAGTTTGCCCTGGGAGAGGCAGGTGGGAGATGATGCTTTGAAATCCCCCTAGTAGAATTTTTCTGGGTTTCACCATGGAAAAGGCTTTTATTTTCGGGGGGGGAGGGGAGAAAGACTGATTATATTAAAAAAATTAACTTTTTCTTAGACCATCAGGAAAAACGGACATATCAGTTTCAGGTTCAGCCTCTCCACTATATAAATTACCATTGGACTCCTTCTTTGACTAAGCCTTCTGGTCCATAGGTACAGTCAGGTAATGAGGTGTCAAACTGGGAGGAGTTGTGCCTGAAGTTAATAGTGGTTGCAAAATCAAAAGTGTATTTCATTGAGATTGCAAAACTGCAGCTGCAAAGCAGGAGGCAGGTGCTGAGAATCTGTTGCTGCATATCACCAGCTGGGAGCCTGCACACCTCAAATCAGAGGGATCTGCTGGCTCATTAGTGCTCTGATGAAATGTTGGTTACCATCCAGGGCTAAGCAGATTCGGCAAAGGGACATTCTCGGCGCGTTGTTGTGTGGGACTCACCCTCTCTGTTCTGCGTTTCAGGTCATCGAGTGCATCACCCAAGGCCGAGTCTTGGAGAGGCCTCGAGTTTGTCCCAAGGAGGTTTATGACATCATGTTGGGCTGCTGGCAGAGGGAACCTCAGCAGCGGCTCAACATCAAGGAAATCTACAAGATCCTTCATGCTCTTGGCAAGGCCACACCAATCTACCTGGACATCCTTGGCTAGCAGTGGCCACTTGTCAAAAGTTCCTGCTCCTTCCTTCCTCCACCCTCCCCACCTCCTCTTCTCCCCGACCCCTTCAGCCCCCAAGCAAACATCTTCATATAAACTCAAGTGCCTGCTACACATACAACACTGAAAAACAAAACAAAAAATACAACCTGTAAGGCAGTTTGGCTTATATATATTTATAGATATATAGATATAGATATATATACCTTCCACACCAATACAGAAAGAAGCTGCTGTTACAGAACCTATAAGACTTTACAAAACAAAACAAAAAAGAAGAGAAGAAACGTAAAGTACTTAAACAAAAAAAGGAGGAATCTTTTCCCCCAAGCTGTGGAGCAGTGAAACATGACCCTGCTGTGCTTTGTCCGCTTGTGCCGAGCTCAAGACTCTTGCTAGCGCAGAGAAAAGCTCTGGGAGGAGGCCCTGCCCCGTTTGTAAGATATGCACTGAATGTGTGACTCAGTCCCCCCCCCCCGGGCGTTCGGGCACTGAGCCAGGGCAGTGCCCCTGGAGGAACTTGCAATTCCGCCCGCCCACCTTCCCACCCTTTTCCTCCTTTTGACATTGCAGGACAATTTTTCTAATTTGCCAATTCTTAAATGTAGAGACTCAAGGCTTTCGGAACATACAGTAAAGGATCGCGGCACCTACGGGTAAACCACACACGAGAAACAGCCACCCTCCCACAGAACACAACCAAGAGGAACTGAACCTTTCTATTGCCCAGCGCCAACCCTTTGTCAGACTCTGGGGATCAGTGCCGGGGACCAGAGCAGCTGCCTGGGAGAGCCATACAGAGAACAGAGTTGGGGAGGGGCCTGTGCCATTCTAAGGATGCTTTGACCGCACTTCGGCATGCGGGACCGGGACAGGCACCCAGCCCATGCGTCGCCCCCAAATAGGGGGCGGTTTTGAAAGCAAAACCCTCCGCCCTGCTTCTTTTGCCGAGGGACACGATAGAGATGTGAGGAGAGCCCCCGCCATACAGATGGGCCAAATTCATCCCTGGCGCAACGGCGCTGAAATCAGGGCTTTCCCCCAGGGTGTGTTCAAAGGCTGTAGTTTGTCATCTGGCTGGGGACTGACTGCCACTGCCACAGGGGTGCTCTTCAGGGTTAGTATGCCATGCTGCCCCTCCTCTCTTTCCCCCGCCCCTACCATCCACCCCCCTCTCCCTTGGTCCAGTACCTGCCAAAGGGGTGGGGGGTGCAGGGGAAACGAAGGGGTCTGGGAGATGGCTGGGAACCTATCAGCACCTGCCCAGGCCTTGTTGACATTCCCCTCACGTCTCCAGGCCCTGAAAGGATTGATGCATCTGCCTTTGAGCTGCTGTGAAAATGCAGAGGCTGAAGAATAGCTCCACGGGCAGCCCGGGGAGCTGGGGGAGGGGAAGGTGGTTCCTTCCCGAGGAGACAGCTCAGCAAATGGTCACTGCGGCCAGCCTTGCATGTCAATGAGGACAAAGGCCTGGCCAAGGGGACAGGGACAGCCAGGGGAGGGGGAGAGAAGCAGTCCCTGTCCCATGCCCCCATCAATAAAAGGAATCAACCTCCTGGCGAAAGGCTTCCTCAGAGACGGGCTCCTGCTCGAAGCAGGCCTGGGAAACAAACGTTTCTGGTTCGTTTCTGCTCCAGCTAATGGAGGACGAGGGGAGAACGTGCCGCTTGGCAGCTCTAGCCAGGAGGAGCCTGGAGCACGGGAGCCACTGTCAAGGCAGAATCTGAAAGGTGACTGCTGCAGACCCAGAAATAGCTTGTTGGGATGTGGCCCTTGTCATGGAAGGAGTGGGGGATCTTCTCTCCTCCCCCCCCCAGCATCCCCTGCCCAGAGCAATCAACAGAGCAGGCTACATTCGAGAAAGGATCCTTCTGTCCAGCTGGCGACATAGTTGTGGTGTGCTGCACAGAGGACACCCCCATCCCCTCCCCCCTACAATCACCCCATTTGTCTGGAGCTGTCTTGTTCATGGCTTAAATCAGAGGAGGGGGCCCTGGTACAGGGAGGGGACGTAAGCAGATCCAGGGGAAGGCCTCTCTGGTGCTAGTGGAGCGGAGTCTGCAGGGGCTAAGGCTGCTGGAGAGGGATGGGTGCAGTGGCTTATTTGGCTGAGGCGGTGCTTGCTGTAATAAAGGCATTGGCGAGGGGAGTGGAGACAAAATGTGACTCTTCGGCCTGCCTTACAAAAACCAGGATCTGTCAGTGCTCGGTGGTAACGGCCAAGGCCAGTGCAGCAGACTCTGGAGTCGGGGCAGCGCGCGGGGCTGTTGGTGTTACAATGCTGCATGATTGTTTACGGGTCGCTTTGGATAACAGAACTGAGCTGTTGGCAGGAGGACAGGCAGGGAAGGGGTGTTAATGGCCCCAGAGATCATAGAGAAACCACAGTCTGGTGCACCACTCCCCCCACGCTCTGCATGGCTTTGTTCTCCTGGGGCAGCTGGACAATGGGAGCTGGCTTTGGTGAGGGGGCCATCCAGTCTCTCCCCTCCCCCCCCCCGCCCATTTAACTAACCCTTCAAACCCCTTCCCCCAGTCATAGCACTCATAGACCCTCCAATTCCATGTTAAATTCAGGAGCACCCCACCCTCCAGCTCTGCTGCAAACCAGGGATTTCCCCTCCCCCGTCCCATGAGTGGTGAATTCCCCAAGCCAGCTCTGAGTGTGGGCACCTGAGCAAGGTGAGGGCAGGAGCAAGGAAAGACATCAGGCCTGAATGCAGCATGGTTATTAATAACTGGTCTAATGAAAGGAGAGGATGTTGTCCCCTGAAAGCTGTTAAGCTCCCGACACCGAGATTCAGGCTGTCAGATGCCCTATTCTTAGCCCCACCAAATGCAATTATGGCACCGGGGAAAGGTTCTCTTGTCAAAGCTTGTTTTGAGCAGCTACTCAGCAAAAAAGCAAAGCAGCGTTGATACCATGGAATGGAGTCATGATTCCCCTGCTGCCGCTGCTTTGGGCCTGTGGGTGTCGGGTTTTGCTTTTGTTTGTTTTGTTTCTGTACGGGTGAGAGGAAATAGTTGCAGACGTGCTGTGGGAGTTGGGAAGGACGCTGGGCCAAGTTATAGGGGAACATACCAGGAGTCTCCTGTTTGCCGGAATTAATACAGAGCCCCTTTAGTCTGCATGGGTAGGTCTTTCACCCACCACAGGACCAGGCGTTCCTGAGGGCCGAGAAGCCTGTGTGGTCCCAATATGTCAAAGCGCAGGATTTAGGGAAACTCATGCAGTGTGCCTCAAAGCAAAGATCTACTCTAGAATGTGGGTGCCTTTGTGGACAAGGGAGGCACAAGTGACTCCAACATTGTGCAGATCCTCCATTCGCTCCCCCTATGAAGAGGGTTAGCTATCGCTCTGCTGCCAGGAACGCCAGAGTTCTCCCCCAGCCTGGTTACTCGTGTCATGCCCCAAGGACAGCAGTTGGCTCTGGCTTAGGCTTATTTCAATTCCCGTCCCCACATCCTCGTACCAGGGCATTCCCATTACTCCCCTCCTTTCATTGAGCTGGTCCCGAATGCCTTGTGAAAGGGGAGGTGGGCCAGACCCAAGGGAAGTCCTGGACCTTAGCTGAGAACAGCACTTGTTGCCCTTCCTTGCACTGGCAGTGGGGCACTTTTACTTAGGGAAAAGATTAACCCAGGCAAATCCCTTCGAGGGTTTCACCTAGATGGAAACCTGCTGGGTATGAGGGCACTGGAGCTGTGCTGTGGTTGGCCCTGGGTTGTGGTCTCAGTGACCTCATGTTTTTTCCCCCCCATATCTTCTGTGATTTCCCATTTCTAACATTTCGGTGAAGCGGATACTTCTTGAGGGTGGGCCATCGAGCGCTCAACCCCAGCTCTTGAAGTCAGCCTCCTATTTTGCATGCCTGTATTGTTGCTCACACAGCTCTCTACACTCCAGTTTTTGCACACACCACCAGACTTGGATGGTCATTACGTGCGTTATATGTGCAAACCTGATCACCTGGCACATGCATGTGAGTTCAAGGTTTTGAATTTGCATGAACTTGGGTGTGAAAAATGGCATGCAAAAACTTCAGTGTGGAGGAATATATGTGCAAAAGCAAGTGTGAAAATGTTGGGGTTCCATTATAGAGGCTGCTTTTGAAAATGTGATCCTCAAAGCTCAGCCAACTGCCTCTGTCCTGTAGTGGGTAGAATAAGCTGTCTCAGTTAGACAGCGCTTGGAAAAGGCCTCGTAAGGAAGGGGACAGTTTTACAAGTCCAGGGCACTACTTGGGTTAAGTAAACCATAGTTGTATTGGGAAGGGCTAGTGTTATATTAAATCCCAAGTGGTGGTGATGGTAGAAATGGAAATAAAAAATAAATAAATTGTGTGACTGGGACTACAGGAAAATGAGGCTATAATTCTGGGCAAACATTGGCAAAAAAGCAAAAGCAAAGGTCACCAGCCGGCAGGGGTCTGAACTGTGCTGTGTTGTGAGCTTTTCTGGTCTGAAATACAAGCAGTACAAGGCCTGAGCAATATTAAACCTTTCAGGGACAAAGGCAGGGAAATCCAAAGCTAAGGCTGCTGTTTTCTCTTCCGAAGAAAGGCTTTTACCTGTCAGGACCCAAGTGCATTTGCTGCCTAATGTACTAGCGATATCAGCAACTGTAACTGCAGAAACACAGAACCCGGGTCTTGGCAGGTAAGTGAAGAAGGAATTGATTTAAGCGCTGTTGTTCGTTGGGTGTATTTATTTGTCATTGGTGAATCTCATCTAAAGTGTGTTCTGTTCAGAGCAGGGATCTTAGGCAGTTTTATTACGGTTGCGTATTTATTTTTATAACGAGGCATTTCACTTCCAGCACCCAATGGTGACTCTCATTTTACAGGCTGTGAGTGAAAAATGTTGCATTCAAGGCTAGTAGCCAAATGTACTGACAGAGAAGGCCCTCCTTGCTCTCTGCAGGTGACTTTTACACCTCAGGGTGGCCCAGTACAGGGCTTCCCCCTCCTCTGGGGCAGCTGTACCAGTTTACC